GTATTATATCTCTTTTTCATTACATGGAACTTGATCTTTAAATTATACAAAGTGATTAGCTAAATGTAATGTAACAGATTTGCAATCATGCATGTCAAATTTCTTTAACGGTACTTTTGAAACATATGAGGACTGATGTAAAAACAAGCTAGAATTTGACATAACTCTTTCAATTTCCATACCTAGGATTCTTTTAGCCTTTTCTAGGTCTTTCATGTCAAATTCACCATTCAAACTTGTTTTTATGTCATTGTCCATTTAGGTGATGAACCAACTAAGAGCTTATCATCCACATAAAGTAATAGGAACACATAGTCATTATTAGCATCATTATATTGGAAGTAAAGACAATGATCAAACTTACTACGATGAAACACTATGGATAGTACAAAATAATCAAATCTTTTATACCACTGTCTAAGTGATTGTTTTAGACCATATAAAGATCTTTTCAAGAAGCACACATGATCAAATTTTAATTTATCTTTAAAACCTTTTAGTTGATTCATAAAGATGTGATCATCAAGTTCACCATGTAAAAAAACAGTTTTTACATCAAGTTATTCAAGTTTCCAGTCAAAATGTGCAATCAATGCAAGTATGATCCTAATAGTAGTGTACTTAACAACATGTGAAAAATTTTCATTGTAATCAACTCTCTCCTTTTGAGTGTACTACTTGGCCACAACCTAACCTTAAATCTTAAGGGTTTGGTTGCACTAATACCTTCCTTAACCTTAAATACCCACTTACAGTCAACAGTAGATTTATTATTAGGTTTATGTACTAGCTCCCAAGTTTGATTCTTTTCTAAAGAACTCATTTAATCTTATTGTCTTAAACCACTCTTCATCGCCTCCTCAAAGGTCTTTGGTTCCTTATCAGCTAACTCATCATAACTCGCATGAGCAAAAGCTAATTCAAATTCATAACCAAATCTTATCGGTGCTCTAGATTGTCTCATCTCTCTATCCCTAGCTATGTTATAATCAGCTAGAGGATTCTTTTCTTCAGGGTGTTCTTCTATTACTACTTCCTCTCTATTTTCCATATCAGGTTGTTGTTCTTGAGTCTCCACCTCACTCTGTGTAATAGGAATGGATGTGCTAAATTTCTCTAACTCCACCTTCAACTGATTACTCTCTTCACCGTGTTTTTCCTCACTCACAGGTTCAGATTCAACTTTAAGACATGGCATGTCGCTGTCATTAAATGTAACATCTCTACTCACAATGATCTTAACTCCCTTTTGACTCCTATCCCACAACCTGTACCTCTGACACCCTCGAGGTAACCTAGCAAAACACATTTTATGGCTCTAGGTTCAAGCTTTCTCTCACTCTGATGAGAAAATGCAGTGCAGCCAAAAGTTCTAAGCATAGAATAATCACTTAGTTTACTAGACCATTTTACCTACAGAGTGTCACCATTCAATGCAGTAGATGGAGTCAAATTAATCAAATAACAAGCAGTCATAACAGTTTCGCCCCAAAATGACTTTAGGACTCCAGAACTTAATATCATACAACGTACTTTATCAAGTATGGTTCTATTCATCATTTTCGCTACTCCATTATGTAAATATCATTTAAAGCTCACATTTATCAGTCGCCGCCTGCGTCGTCGACCTCACGTGCCTGATCTCCTCCACCTCCTCCACCTGTACGTCCCAATTCCGGTCTCCATTTCACCAAAAGCCTACTGGATTGGCCGAAAAACTCAGTTGCAAGTTCGGTTTTTGTTGAAAATCTAGGCAGTTTTTTCCACAGCTTTTTTTTGCCATTTTTGGATTTGTTTTCCACGAAAATCACCTCCAAAGAATGATCTGATACCAATTGTAAAATGAGGGACTTCAAACACGAAGAAAATCGGGCTCAGTATTTCAAATCGACTACCACAAATATCCAACCAACACAAACCAAACACCACCTAATTTGGTTTCTTTAATGGCTGCCCACAAAGGGCTGGATGTGAATATTATTGGGAGCTAAAATATTAGCATCTAAGGCTAACAGAAAGGTAGAAGAACCGACATAAAGCCAAGGAAGAAAGCACAAAACCAATACACTCTTTTTCTTTCAAAGAACCGACTGCCAAGGTTTCACACTCTATTTGCAACAGTAAAGGGGTGAACAATATAAAGGGATTGGGGATGGGCTTTTAGGTGAGGGAATAGTGAGGCCCAATAAAAATGTAAGTGGGCTATCAATCAAAAAAACCATCCAAGTCTTGGGTTGGGCCATGAGCAGCACTAATTTAATTAGGCTGCTTCAAATGATTCAAGTGGATTACATGATATGTTTAGACAATTGTGGTGTCCATATACATTCAGTCATTTGGTTGATGCCTGTTGAAATAAACAATACTTACATCATCGCCTAGGGAGGTTATTTGACAACAATTGGCCTAACACGTCTTCGGCACAAAAAGTAGAAATGAAGCTTAATAAGAGCACCGTAATGCATTGGAACGACGAATCCTATGCAAGAGGGGACATCGGTCGAAAGGAGGAAAAACATGAGAGGTATGGTTCTCGAATGAGTCATAACTTGCTAGAGCGAAAATGTACGGATACTGCACTTTTTGTCATAGTAATCGCTTACTTTAGCGAGCACAAAGTTTATTTAGTTTACACGTTTTTGAAGAGAAACTTCGATATATTATGTTCATGAATGCGAGGTTACAAACCTTCACATACATCCGTCAACCAAAACACAGAATATTGTCTCACGGAGTATTGTGCTCTAGGGTTTTTGAAAATCAAGCAAGAAGACAGAGAAATTGAACAAGCTTGAACATTCGGTTGTAAATTGTCTAATTGGTACCAGCATTCAACTTTAATCATCTTTAGAGGAAAAATTTTTGTTTCAAATAGTTGCGGGCATGAAATAAATCCACGTTGGAGCTTATTCAATCCCAGTTATCTCTTAGTTATTTTAATCTTCTTTATCGCCAATCTTAAAAATTGACTGTTCCGATGAAGGCAAGGTTGGTTAATTTCAATACTTAATAATGCACTAGTACTTTTCATAAAACGATACTCTACTCACGTACTTTATTACTTGTTCTTTACGTATTACTACACAAATAGCTAGCTAGGTTAGTTTTATCGTTCTATCCCTATTGATAAAATGAAAATATATTATATATAAAAAAAGTGAATTAGCACTGCTTCAAAAAATAAAATAAAATCTAATGTGACTTCAGTATTACTTGCCAAAATTGTGTACTCAGTTATAAATTGTAAGTAATTGTCATATTGCTCTCTAAGAAAAAGACTTCCAAAATAATTAACATCACATAAGAAAGTCAAACGTTAGTTATTAGCATTATTAAAAAAATCTTGAGATGAAATGATTTAAGGAAGCACTTGCTTTATCTATCCATCTTGTCTTCTTGTTTGAAATTCTAGTATTGGGTTATCCTTTTTTATTAACATTTTTTACACCGCGCGTGTGCAACTAAACATTTTATTTAGAAGTATAGCAATGAGATGATTTTCAATTTCTTGAAAAATAATCTAAAAAGGTTTCACTTACGACTCATTTTGCGTTCAACGTGTTCGCTAGTATGTCAATTAGATTCGTTATTTCACGAAAAGATACATGAACTTTTGATAATGAGTAGTGATGAGACTTCAACATCATAGATTAGACCTATTCCACTACTCATAATCAATAATGTAAAGCACGTAATAAAAGTACTCGTACATACATAGAGATTTCTCTCGTGAGATTTACGTTCACTCATTATCATAATTACGTTCAACCAATAAAATCTACTTTGAAAATATAGTGTGCTAATCTTTCTCAAGAATTCACATCAATGAGAAGGTTTGATGTCGACTCTTCACCATCTTGGGATCATAGCACGATGAGGGTTAAATAACTAATTGAACCAAACAACTTAGTAAAGGGATAAACCTCTGATTGCCGAGCAATTGACAAGTTTTACAACTCAAAAATATAAGTAAATAGTATAATTAAAATCAACACAATTAATATTGAATTTAAAGACACGTTCTCTAGACATAAATCATGTCACTTAAAAGTTTAATATTTAAATAAAAGTTTATAATTCATCCGTCACAATCCATAATTTTCTTGTGCATAAACTTTACATATAAAATTATGTTTCTATCTTTGGAAATGGGAACTAAAAAGTGAAAAAAAAAAATCAAGTAATCATACCAGTCTCCCATTAAGAATAATTAATTAAGATTCAAATTAAAAAAGTCCAAATTTACAATGAGAGCAAACTGGCCCTCTCTTTCTTTAAAGATTATCGTTCCAAATGGACATATCACCTAAGTGATTAAACCCCATTAGAAGAAACAATCATCTTTGCATGTTGTTTCACGAAATCCATGATCACAAGTCATGAAATTCAGTGAAAAAAAGTGATTTTTTTGGGAGGTTGGGGGTGGGCGTGAGGAGACAACAAATTATCTTTATTGCAAGTCAAATTCATGTCTTGATTAAAATGCTTAACACGTAAGGAGTCAAATTCTTACACGCTTTCGATGACAAAGAGACATTATGAAGACAAGATTAGAATCCATAACCTCGACGTAGAAAATCTCTTTACATCTCTGCATCGAGAGTAACTCTCGATCCACTTAACGGGGTGTGGGCGTATTTTAATATAAATTCAAATCTTTAACTATTCTTTATTTCATGTGACTTGTTTACACTTATAATAATAGAATTACTGAAAATGACTAAAAATACAAACAACATGAAATCTACGTATGCATACATCTATACAAAGAATTACATCAGCCACGTTTGGCCCTTTTATTTCTCATCCTTTAACCTCACCTAACTAATTTCTGTAGTTGCTTTCACTCGAAAGTTGCTCCCGGCGCACAAGGTTCTCGACTGTAGTTGTAAACCCTACACACATGTTCGGTATTCTACGCTGAAAATTGCCGAAAAAGAGAAAGATGTAAAATATTCGTGTGTTTCCGTGTTCATTACTGTCTAGTTCAGTGTACTTGTTTACTGTGCTTGATAGTCGAGAAAAGGAAAAGAGGAAACATCTTTCATCATCAACTCCTCTAAATCCCATTCTCCCATAGCCATTCTCAGTTCATCTCCTTCCCAACACAAACCCTCAATTCTCACATTATTTTCTGCTAATTTGTTGTTTATGTTACCATTATTATCATGGAATTGATTATAGTTAATTATACTATTCATATTATTCATGACGTTAGTATTACTCTTTTCAACTAAATTTCCCATTTTGCCACTCTGTTCATTGTTTACACTCCCAAATGGAGGAACCATAAACTGCCCTTCAAAGTCAATGTTCCCACCAAATATCCCACCTTGTGCATTACATGGTTGTGCACCAAAGTAGGACCCGGCAATGCATGTCGGCTGCTGATCAAGAATAGGCAACATAGGATCAAGATTCATGGAATTTAAGGCCATGTTTGGCAACTGCCATGTTGATGACGATAAAGCTGAACAAGATGATGATGTGTGCATGTACGCCCCCATCATGTTGTGTTCTTGATTTGATATCAACCGTCCATTAATGCCATCTCTTGGCTGATCCATTGATGAATCACTCGTATTTGGTGATCTTGATGAAGATGATGAAATATTCTTGAGTCTCTTCTTTATTGTAGAATTCCAAAAATTTTTAATTTCATTATCAGTACGTCCAGGCAAACGTGCCGCAATTTGGGACCACCTAATTTAATCAGAACAAAAGTTAATCAGTTAATTAACAGATACTCGGTAAAATACGAGGTATTTTGTTTATTGCATATATGCATTGCATGAAAATTTAGTTTTCAAGACCCACAAATATCTCTCTTGATTTTCTGCTTCTTTATAATTTTTACACGTGAATCTGAAATACGAAATAAATGAATTATGTGTAAGATCGTCTATTTGAAGACACGAATATAAATGAATAAATTGCATTTGATTCTACACATGTTAATCGAAAAACGATATTGAAAATGTGAATTGACTTTCTCGACCAAAATATGTCCACTTGTTAGTTGTAATGTACCAAAAATTAAATTAAGGATGTTCACTCAATAATTTAACTAACAAGTTGATTGTCATGTATGGATTAGATTACAACTTAGAAAATGTCCACCCAAAGATGTAGTAATCAATCAATCAATCATATTTTCAACCAGATTCTAGGCATGCATAAATACATATAACATACGTACAAGTAAAAATAAATAAAAAAAATTAAATAATAATAATAATAATAATAATAATAATAATAATAATAATAATAACAACAACACGAGATTTTAATCTCTTTTATTTAATTTGTATTTAAGCCCCATGCTTAGTTCCACTAAAAAATAAATTAAAATTTAAATCAAAGTTAATAATTAATTGTAATCACATATTTTATGGAATTCATAACTTTTCAATCACATATTCTATTAATTTTTATCAAAATCTATTAAAAAAATTATTTTTACTTAAACCAAACAAGAGGTAAATATTGCCTTCAATACACTCTTCAACGCCTTACACATGTCAAATATTCGTAGAGTGACAGCGAAACATGAACTCACGTATTTTTTTAACTGTATGTAATATACGATGTTACTATCTTATCTAAGAGCTCGAGCTCGTAGATAGGATATGAAACATGTGAATTCATCTAAATATCGTCTTCAACAATGAAAACGAAAACGAACAACCTCAATATAACACACAGAGAGAGAGAGAGATTACCTATTGCCAAGAAGCGAATGGAGATGAATAATAAGCTCTTCTTCCTGGGGCGAAAAAGCGCCCCGCTTAAGATCCGGCCGCAAGTAGTTGATCCACCGTAGGCGGCAGCTCTTCCCGCACCGCTGCAGCCCTGCATTCCTTGCAACATCACTCCAACACCCCTGCCCATTTCTTACCATATAATTCATCAATTTCTCATCTTCCTCTGGTGACCACAACCCTTTTCTAAGCTTCGCCGCCGAATTAATGGCCCCGCAGCCACCACTATTAATCCTCCCAGAACTATCCGGTTTTCTCATTCTGAACTGAAGTGTACTTTCTTGAGGGTTCTTTTTCTTTCAACTGTTTTGATGTGTAAGAGTGAAGGTTATATAAGAAGACTGGACAGCTTCAAGAAGTTAAAAAATAAAAAAAACAACCATGCTAAAAGTAAAGAAAATTTTGACAGAAAACTTTGACAGACAACACATGGCAGAAATTGATCAGCGTCGGTAGGAATTTTTATTTTTCAAGAATTCCCTGTAGTTTTTCCAATAAAAAAAGTTGCAGAAGAGAGAGAAAGTAATTTGAAATGATTACGATGATCACGATGGTGATGGTTGTGGGGTTTTGTTGCTTAGAAAGGGGGAATGAAGGGGTGAGTGAAGGGGGTGGGGGTTGGTGGTTGATTTGTATTGTGGCAACGGTTTGGAGAGAGATAGGTGGTCGTCTTGTCTTTGACTCCATATCTTGTCTTTTACTATTTTGCTTATTCTTCAATAGCAAGGGAATGGTTAGAATACGCTTGATATACTTCCTATGTGTGAAATATATACGTTTATGTATGACATATTTGATATATTAGATTGTATATATGAACAAGGAAGACGATCGTTTTACGAGACATTGTTAATGTATCAAATTTGATTTCTATTGACTTTGGTTCATTTTGTTGTTTTAGGAAGAGATCCAAGCGTGAGATACATCGATGAAAGAAATTACGAAAATGAAAGGAAGCGATATATTTTGAAGTAAGAGGAAAGTGGAGAATCGAACCCCAAAATTGGAATTTCGAAACCATAAAATCTCTAGTTTTTCCATGGTTTTCTAACATCACAGTTGATATTACAATGAAAATAATAGTGGATTTTTTGAAATGTGTGAATAGTAATTGTGAATGTATGATTGAATTAACTTATAATAAGAGTAATTATTTACAAACAAGCACTAAATTTTGCATAATACGTGTCGAGACAATATAAATCGCCGATCAACTAATTTAGATTGGACCAAGAAAGATAAGTAACGATAATAATTCGTTAGTTGTTCAATTATTATGATTATTGTACATTAGGTTTCGTCTCAAAATGCTAATTTAATGACTAGAGTAGATCATGACCATCCCCGAATCTACATCACGATGATCTCCACGACTTTCCTTCCCTCGAATGGCGACCTTTTATCTTCATATTTTATAACCGTGAAAATCCCGTTTTAAGGTAACTCCTTTATCGCTTCAAGAGTTTATCATCACAAAATATTCAATCGTTGTGCTTGAAATTTTCAAATTCCCATATTCATTTAGATTTTTCATACACGTCGTCTAGAAACATATCTTATGACAATAATAAAATAATTATTTGTAACCTTGCTTCAACTGAATATATTTTTCTCTCTCTCCCCCTCGTCTCACTCTCATGCATCCACACGTGTATCTGAAGAAAGGAAAGTACATTATGAAATAATAGGATTATGATGCATATTTGTCGCAATACAAGGGCAATGAAGTCATCCAATCTTCATGATAAAACGGGGCCAATAGATTGACACTTTTAGTTCAATAAAGAGAAAAGGAATGCAATGTATGAAAAAGCGTGATCGGAATAGTGAATTTATTATTAAGAAACATGAATGCAGTACAAAAGATAAAAGATGCTAAAATATGGACAAGAAAGTTAAAAGTTAAAACCTTCGTACGCTTACGGAGCTAAACATTTTTCATTGTGGCTGGATCATAAAGTAAGTTATAATTTTATTTTATTTTATTTTATTTTTTTTAAAACAATGTAACAATGGGTTGATGCTCGATGATAGGTGACGCGAGAGGTGGCTAAACATTATGGTTGCAATCGTTCTCGATGAGTTGAGCAATAACAAATGTTAGATTTTGATGAAATTGACAAACCTTCGAGTAAGAATGAGAAATTAACTAGTAAATTTAAAAAGAGGAGAGATTAGAATTTTGGAAAAAAGAAATTCCATAATTTTGTTGGGTACAATGGACCCCATAAGACTTCATGTTGCTCTGTCACCATTCGAGCACGCATAAACTTCGTAAAATCGATTTTCGTGTAATATTATTTTATTAACAAATGTGTTGTTAAAAATGAATTTTTGAAAAAATGGAACTCAAACAAAATGTTTCATATGACGTTAAGTTAGAACCGTTGCCCTAATGATACGAACTTTGCTCGTAATGGTTAGTCATTTAACCGACAAAAATTATACAATATTGGAAAAAAATTGTACTAGGATCGTCATCATACAAGTAAATGTCCATTTTGGGGGGGTGAAAACTCCCTCTACCAATCCATTCATTTCAGAAATTAGGGAGGCACCAGAGCTAAAAGTCTCATTCGAGGCCCAGTGGCCTTGGTCCGCAATCACCATTTTCAAAATAGAAACGAGTACGAAATTAAACATTTTATTTATATTATATTCACTGAAAATGCGTAGAAAGAGCAGACGGCAGTCATTTTCGTGGATTTCCACTTTCCCATATGGGACACGACTGAGTAATCACTTTCATTTGTTATAACTTAATATTAAACAATTTGGACCTTGCTTATGTACCAATAAAGTATGCATGAAACATCAAATTGAATTGTGAGTTAAGCAAAAGCTTGCATGATTAATTGTTGCTATCAAAACTTCAGCCACATATTTGACAAATTGTCCATGTTAATATAGAGCCACATGTTTACTCGGAACAACCCGATTTTGAGTATTTATTCAAGATAATATCGGGATAATATACATTTCTTTCCAATAAGTGTTTCAACGTGATATCAAAGCATGTAAAGGACTTGGGTTCAAGCGCTGCCGCCACCTTTTTAATGCAATTGCACACCTATTAGGCTTTGATAGAAAAAATGAACCATACAAGCTACCTACAAACTTTTATATTAAGTAGTTCAACGTGATCAACCTGGCTTGAATTATACACAGTTTATAGGCTTTTATATTTTTGCTGAAGATTTCTTCCTCCCAGAAAAACCAGCACAAACTAACCCACATAGAGGTCGTGGGCTTCTAAATCTGGGTCGGCACGTAGTGGCTCTCAGATTCGTGGACAAAAACTCCTTTAGATGGATAAGATAAAGAAGAAAGTGACTCTACATTGGAGTAAATCTGATCCTGGCTCATCCCAACTCTAGGATTGGATGGTATTGTGACACTTCTAGATGGGCAAGAAGATAGAGAAGAAAGTAGTCATGCAGCTAACTCTATATTACACTTCGGAACTACCATTCATTTGTGGGGAATAGAATTTTGACTTATAATGCCGGAACTCTGTTTTTGGCATTCATACACATTAGCACAACCTAAAGATGCAAATAAGATGGCAAAATCCAGTATCCAGTAACATTAATATTGATGAAACTTAGGAAAATATTTTGAAACGTAAATTGCAAAAAGCAATGGGTAGCCTCTGTAGGCATTAGTATAGGCAGTATTTTAAAATACACACCTGAGCGTTGCCGCGGCAGAAACTCTAAGCCAAGTGGCTTGGCGCCTTATTTAGCGGTCAACGACAATCGTTGACCAATAGGCGTGCATTATTTTCATTTTTTTCTTACAATTCTTTTAAGTTAAAACTTAAAGGTTGATTTACATTTGAAACTTATCTTTTTGTTAGAAACTTTTGAAAAAATGTACAAAGTTTCTATAAATTCATTTTAAATGTTTGATATGCATTGCAAAAAGCAATGGGTAGCCTCTGTAGGCAGTATAGGCAGTATTCTCAAAGACACACCTGAACGTCACAAAGTTAAAAACGCCAAGCCACCAAGCCAAGTGGCTTGGCGCCTTATTTAGCGGTCAACGGCAATCGTTGACCAATAGGCGCGCATTATTTTCATTTTTTTCTTACAATTCTTTTAAGTTAAAACTTAAAAGTTGATTTACATTTGAAACTTATCTTTTTGTTAGAAACTTTCGAAAAAATGTACACAGTTTCTATAAATTCGTTTTAAATGTTTGATATGCATTATTTTTAATTATTAAATGATTTTTTGATTGATTAAAATTAAAATAATATTAAAATAAGAAAATGCATTTTTACGTTTTTTTACGCATATGCCTCGCCTAAGCTCATCTAACCCATAGCTTGGCATCCACACATCGTCACGCATTACGCTTTTTTGAACACTGAGTATAGGTATACATAATGCCAAATCAATGTGTGTGAGCGCACTGTCACGGACCTAGATAACTCCCCTACCCATGTGGCATGATTATTGCTATATTTCTCGGAAGTGCACTGACGATATCCCTTTAACAGGTTTGGATGACATGCTTTCTATCCCTATGTTGTGCTTATGTTGTATATCTAAACTTGCCTGTCGCATGTGTGGGGTAGGCTGCCTTGAGGGTCCCTGGAATCTCAAGGGTCGAACGGGAGGTCCGTTACAGCGCGCTCTGTGCTGTAGTTTTCTTGCTTATGACTGGCAGCGCACAATAGACTCCAAAAGCAGATACATTACCTTTCAACTACCAGAATCGAAGTTCCCTATGACAGCGCCGAGGTTCTCTGCCACAAAGGACGTCCCAAAATAGCGCTTCCATGAACAGCAAGATAGGCAGCATTCAATCTGAAAGTCAATTGTGTGATTGTTTTTGGCAAAAAGATCTTTCAAAGCCATTAATGGTACTAATATATTAAGCACATCCACGCATTTTATTTAGAGCATGTTTGGCTATAAAAGTTACTTCAAACACATTTGGATGAGTTGTCTTTTCTTACTCTTTCAAGTAAATAACCTTTTTTTTTTTTTTTTTAAACTAACTTCTTTTTTAATTTTGATTTAAAATAAAATAAAATAAAAGGAAGAAAAATTTACTTGTTATAATACTTTTATGCTTAGCCAGACATGTTCTAATTAAAATCACGTGTAAAAGGTTTACTTGTCGACGTCAGGCGAAGACATAGTATAGTAGATTTCCTCTCTACGTTCCATATTTGGGGCAACGCCCAACATAGCTGCCATGTCCTGAGCACCTTCAGCTTATAAAAGAACAAATATATAAAAATACTTAA